GTCTTCCAGAAGTTGGTGGATCGCACAGAGAAAAAGTGGGAGGCTCGGCTGTGCATATTGACAGCAAAACCCCAACCAATGGGTGTTGGCATGTTTTTTTTTCCAATTCTTCCAGGGGTTCTTTGGGAGAGGTCTCTATTTTCAATTCACACCCGCACACAACATATGTTTGTGTTTTTCATCTGGGGTAGGCTTGGGTGCACAGGTCGAAAATCACATCACCACTGTAGAATCACATCACCACTGTTGGTTCAAGATGGTTCAAGAAACAAAACGGACAGTGGAGTTTTGGCGCCACTCTGCCCATCCTTATGACCGGTATTGTACAAGGCACATTGCAGCTAGAGGGCGTTGAAGCACAAGCAAGTAGCGACATGTTGCGAGGGGGAAATCATGTGGTCGCAATTCTGCACAATTGAAAATGAAGCATTATATAGTCAAGATCGTGACTGCTGTGATCATGTCTTGGCTCCCTCCACATCAGACATCATGCTAACAGGTGTGACTGATGTGAAGAATGTTGGACATACCCTGGGGTGTGTGATTTCGGTGGCTTATGTAATATATTGGGTACATATGTTCAGGGCCTACGGATCTCTCAAGGGTATATTATAGGTTGCTGCACATGCGCCAGGTACCCAACCAGTTTTTCAATACTTCCCATGTCATCCCCACCCGTTTAGGGACACACTGGCTTCAAACAACTTGTGACATCACATGACTTGACATGTCATGTGTCTGCAAATTAGAGGTCGACCTCCCAATGGTTTCGACCGCCTGGACGACGTCGGGGCGAGAGTGATCTGGAGTGTTGATGATAAAAAGCGATGAGCCCGCAACGGGAGGCAGAGATCAAGAGCTTGGAACGCAAAGAGCAGCAGCTGCACCAGCAGATGGAAGGCGCACGGCGCACGCGCGTGCGTCCGCCGCGTGCGCTTCAGAAGGCTGAGCCCAGCCGGGTGGGTTGGGTGACCTCGGCGCAACATCTGTTGTCGCCGTGTGGGGTGACCAGCGGTTTTTCATATCACAAGTCAGTTCGACCTCATGAAATCCTGCAGTTGGTCAAGCAAATAACAGATGTCTATGTTTTTCTTTCAGGAGGTCAGTCAAACCAGGAGACTTGCATGAGATATACCCTCCCTGCAACATGGTTACTTACGGAGTCCACCCCTTTGGTTTGATCTTCGGATTTCTGTACGTCCACCGAAACGACCGGCGAGGATGTCCACATAATCATGTTTGTTGCAGGGAAAAAAATGGTACATGTGCGTTCCCTCTGCTGAAAGTCGGCTCACTTTTTCACATTATCATTTTTTTATTGTTTCTTAATTACTGCAGGGCGGACCTTCCAAATCTTCGGTGGCCAGGCATCTATCAAAGTCTCCAGGGCCTCCAGGGCCTCGTTTGGCTTCTCCTCGAAGGGACACAATCTGCACTGCACGCTCCTTGCGACATCGCGCACGATGCGCACGACCTGATGTGTGGTGAGCTCCTCCTTTGTTTGCCTTTTAATTGGCTTTGAAATCAGATGAAATCAGGGCCCTTTGGTGAATACATGTCTTCGGAACCACTGGTAGAGTCACTAGAAGTAGGAGCAAGACCGACTGGGAAGGCCTGCGGATTCGTTTGTCGGCAGACCACGTGGACCACCTTTCCAGGCTTGGCAGACCACGTGCATGAGTTGGAGGCACCGGCTGTTGTTCGTCCGTAGCTGATATGCCCTCTCCGAACTCCGAAGTGTGGGGGGGAAATCAGATCAAGGACACTCGACCCGCTTTAAACAATGTGAGGGAAGAACAGAGAGTATTGTTCTGGCTGCGCAAAAGATGGAGTAAGACATGGTCTTTCACATCGTTCGATGAGGGTTCTTATCCTTTGCACCAGGTTTGAATGCTTCATGCCGGTGCTCACCAACTTGAGTGGATAGCAGCGATAGCAAATGCATGTTCATTCTGGAGGACATAGCATCCGTTTATTTGTGTTTATTCCCTTGGGTTCACTGATATTCATACAGTATCATTTGTAGAGAAATGTCATTGTGCAACATTGTGTGTTTGAAGGTTTGGAGTGACCTTTAATACGGTGACCACGTGTGATTAGATCTTCCCCAAATATATATAACAATGAACCATGCTCAACCCCGTGGGACCACCTGCAACACCCCTGGATGCCAAACTATAGTCTAGGTAGCTCTAAATGGAATGTGCTCTATGACTGTTTTGGAAGGAGTTGACATAATACCTATTGGATCCCGTTTTTTATGATTCACAAGCACCGGCATCCAACCTGTTTTTTTTTGGCTGTTGCTGTGGCCATCCGATTTCTGAGCCTGTCGACCCATGTCGGCTTGTCAAAGAAAACACATATCGCCAGCGGTAAAAGATGATCACTCAACTTGGGTGAAGAGTCTGCAACCCCTCAAGGTTGCCACTTCCACTTCCCCTAGCCATAGTTGGTGACACCATCCCCTAGCCATCCTAGGCAAAAGATGAGCCACCATCCACCACCATCCTGGCCGCCTCCGGCTCCGTCCGCTCGACTCACCGACTCGCTCGACGCCGATGGTATGGTGTGGATGGTATTCAGCATGACCATCATCCCGGATTCGTGGCCAAGGGATGGTTTTCATGGTCTGAAGCCCCTCAGAACCCGTCTTTGACTGAGGATTCTTACACAGCAACACCAGGTTAAGCACCGAATAATATCGAATAATTCTGTTTGAGGGTCGAACTGAAGGCGCATGGCACCGTTGTGGTTCGTGTTTTGCACTTCAAAGGAAGGGCACCCTAGTTCGATCCTATGCTAGGTGAAGACATGTGATGATACTGCTCAAGTAGTCTTACCAAGAACCTTGGTCTTGCTGAGCCGATCTATTCAGTCTTGTGGTCTCTAAGAGATCGATCCAGTGGACCCCCGGGGGTTCTCGCCACAGAGTGGTGGCTCCAGTGATCCAGCGCTTGATTGATGTGTCTCCACATGATCCATCTGATGTCTCCACCATCTCGTCCTCTTGCTCCTAGTAAGGCCAGGAGCCCCGTTCGTAGCTTCTTTGCTCCGTTCGTAGCGATGCCAGGAGCCCCGTTCGTAGCTTTAGGAGCTGCGTGAGGCGAATGTGCCCATGTCTGGAAACCAGGTCTGTCGCGTCAAGAAACTGACTCCCCGCCAGCGCCAAGCGCTGGCCAGGAGTCAGTGCAAGCCATGGCTGAAGCCTCCAGCAGCAGTGAGGACGCCACCATAGACGGCCCTTGATCCGGACATCGTCGTTTTGGTTCTTTTGTGGAGTGCAAGACCAAGAGTCTCTTTAAATTAAATCTGAGACTACAAGCATTCCTCAAATACTCTGTGGAACCATTGAGTAAACAAGAGATGGTTGAACAGTTTTGTTCTACCTTTGCCCGAGGACAAGTATGTATGGATGGGGATTCGTTTTTTTTTCCTGACCGGTGCAACAATTGGAAAAGCATTATAGCATTGTTCTTTAGTGAAGCTCCTGCTGTTAAACAACAACATGTACTGTTCTTGGAAGAAATCTATCAGCAACCTCCTGTTTATTCTGGCAGGTCTTGGTATGTATATAATATGATTCTGCTGGCAGGAAACTCTGTAAACAAGGTGTTCAACTCAGAAGCCTAGGAGTATAAGCATGAGGTAGTTCTAGTCCAGGTGGAATAGACCGACTATGAACCAACCGAAACCAACCTGAACAAAATGACTTTTGCCACCAGTGTCCCAACGTGTTTTGTTTCGATGTTCATTGATTTCTCCATATTCCATCTACTTATACCAGATGACTCTAGATCTGATTCCGATCACCTCGTTCAGCTGGTCCGGTCAGCCTTTTTACGTCCGTTTGGCGGGTCGATAAAGAGGGTGGCTGGCTGGTTCGGTTCAGTTTAGCCGGTTGTGTGTCAAAAAGAGCTTTGGATGGAAGTAATTGCACTCCTTGAATACATCATGCAAGTGGATGGCATGGCCCCCAAAAAAACGACCATTTTCCGAATACGCAGCAGGTTGTCAACTCCACTTCTATCGTCTATCATGATTTCAGGGAGTGGAAACGGACAAGAATCTCCAGCAGAGATGTTTGTTGGATGTGGTATATCTTGGAGGGAAGGCTACTACATGCTTTCTAGCCACTTCGATTGGTATGCGAGCCAGCCCTTTGGAATGTGTGCCACTCTGAATGACTGGTTCACAGATTATGTTAACATAAAGTATATGGAACTTTGGGCATAACACGGAGATGAATCCGAGTTTTGAGTGTGGCTGGAAACACTGGCACATGATAAGTAAAAATACCTGATTTGACTCCCTTATTTGAATTTCGCAGCAAGTTGCATCGAGCCCTTCTTCATGGTTGTTGTTTCCTTCCAGGGGCAATTGGAGGACGTGACCAGGGTGTTTGGGAGATCTGTTTTTGGTTCCCCGACAGGTTTGGCCGATGAAGTCGCAAAACGCACCGTTTCGCCCAACGCCTCCTTGCTGCGTTGGCTGCAAACCTGAGAGCAGAAACGATCCAAAGATGGGAAGATGTAGCAGAGGTGAACACTGAAAGCCACAGGAAACCCAGTGGCCCACTGGTGAGAAGCAACATGCCCAACACGAACATCGCTGTAAATAAAACCAACCTGTACTGAACGAGCTGTACTTGAAGGGGGCTGTACTTGATCGACGCGTTTCGCTCATTTGGATGAGCACTTCAACAAGTCCAACCAAGAGGTCCCCCATAGACAAGAGTGTCAACATGCAACCAAAAGTCTAAAGAGATTTTAAAGACAAAATATGGACCACAGAAGGTAGCCCAGAAGCAGAAAGTTTTGGAGCATGTTTTTTCATGTTTTTGTCTATGTTTGATGGCCTACTTGAAGCGGAAAACAATCCACGTTTCCACTGTTCTGGGGTGTTCGCGCCGGTAGGGGTAGCGGCACTCAGAGTTTTGCTCCCCCAACATTCAATCTAAAACAGTGGGGTGCGTAGGTTCCAAAAGGCACTCACTGCCTCCAAAAACCACCTGCCACCCTGAATTTGTGCACTCTGATGCCTCTTTCTTGGCGCCTGGGGCGGGCAGCCCCAGCGGCGCGATCTGCCGTTGGCCGCGTGCTCCTGCGGAGCTTCAGTCAGCCACCGCAGCCACCTAAGTCGAGCCTTGGCTGAGAGAGGGGTCATCAGGATCTTTGCCCGTGAAAAGCTGTTATTCCTGTTGCCTGTTGATTTATAAACACCTCATATTATAATCCTATCATTCAGAAAGGGAAACCCTTTGCGAAAAGAGGGGAAACAAAGAACACATTGATTGAAGCATCGATGTGGATATGTGTGGATCGCAATGAAAGACGCATGCAAGTGCCCACTGGCACCGTGGGCACTGGGCACTGAACGCGTGGTGTGAAGGAACGCCACTTGTTGTACCAAGCAGCTATGTTTTGGTTCCAAGCAGCTATTCAGTGCCAGGCTTTGCAGCTGGTAAGCCGGCAGAGGTGAGAAGCAGACAGCTTCTTTTGCACATCCGTTGAAGCAAGGGTCTTGCTGCTCTGGAGTTATCAGATGACCCAAAAGCCTCAGGCGGCCAACACCTAAAACTAATAAGGTAGTTTGCAGACAGATCAGACAACACCAGTGCGATGTGTTTTTGGGTTTCTGACAGGAATCTAGGGGTATGCGATATGCGCTGGTTGCACTGGCATTCCATCATCCTTTCTGCCAAGGCCATACTTGCATCAGCGGGCTCCGCCTGCTCCGCCTCCGCCGCCGTCGTGGGCGGCGAACCCGCCCGCGCCGGAACGCAGGCGCGCGATCGCGGCTCATGGGAGAGTGATCCCAAGTGTAGGGAGGCCATAACAGGAAAGTAGTCATGTTCTCCGTTGCAACCAACGGCTACACAGTTTCGATGCAGGAAAGTGATGGGTGAGCCAGGACTTTTCATCCAAGTATTCAACATCTGGGAATACCATGGAAGAATATCGAAGACTGGGCTTCTTCACTTTAGAGCTTGGACTTGTTCCTATCTGGGAAAGACCGTGGAGAAGTCCAAGATCCTTTTTGAAGTGGTAGTCTACCTTCCCCTTCCACAAAGGTCTTGTGCATGGGCTTGAAGCTCAGCATGATCCAGTTTTGGGGAGTACATCCCATGTCGGTCATCTACATTTCGACACCTTCGGATCAGATGGTATCTAAGGCTGAAGTACTCCTGCTTTAGGTGGGCAAATTGGACATCATGTTGCATCTCATATGGCTTCATGTACTCAGTTGCCCGGCACATGACGGCTGTTATGCTAGTTTCTGACGGCTGCCACCTGTGCCCATGACTGAGGCCACCACCTGTGCCGCCGCCAACGGAAGCAGCGGCACTTCCGCCGCCACGGCCATCAGGAAACCCAGGCGAGGGATGGGCGATGTGATGTTCCATGATGCTCCGCATTGGCCCGGAGGCACAGGATTGATATGGATGAGTGTGCATACCCCTCGGTATGTATTGGGGATTCGAAGGTGTGGGTCTTTGGCGGTCCAACTACCTCAACAGTCATTTTGTTACTTAGCTCACTTAGCTCTTAAGATTCTCTGCAAGTCCTTTTACACATGGAAAGTCGATCAATTTCGATCTTGAGGGGCCAATGATCTGCGCAAAACAGCGGGGTGAAACACTTGTTCAATGACGTTTGCCACCTCAATCAAGCGGTTTGTCACTTTGACATGGCCGGGCCAGAACAAATGGGACAGTTCCGTCCAGTTGCAGTACGCTGTGTCTCAGTTTGGAGGTATGTAATCCGCATGATGCTCACTAATCCCTTCCCCAAAAAGTACAAACAAGAAAAGTGGGGTCTTCTTCAATTAAACAGTATCCGGTCGAGTTGCGTTTAAAGGGGTTTCCCAATATAAGGGATAGCCCAAAGATGGGAACCTGGGAAGAGCTTCAAAGCCCAAAAATTGCCTATAAGACAATTGTAAAATCCCTGTAAATCGAAGGGTCTTCCTTTTCCGTGTTCGTAATTCTTTGATACACGCCAAAGTTTTTCTTGCAACTTCCATGTTGACAACCCTTTCCCCAGAACGAATCCAACCCACTGACACCTCAAGCGGTCGAGGGTGATCATTGACCATCTCACAATGGCCCGAAATGGATCCACATACCAGCACCTTCATTCCGAGGTCACCTGGCTGGTTTCGCCCCAGCCCACCACTAAGGGACCTCCAGACAGGACACCCCTTTTTCAGGTCCAGGTAGATGTTGTAAGAACCGGAAAGAAGACAAAACTGTCTTCCTCCTGAAGTATGTTTCGCTTGTCCAGTTTCCATCAGCCTAGCGCAACAACTACAGATTTCGATGGGTGATGTCGCTGTGACATGCGGTTTGGCAATGCATTGGTTGTGAACTTGCACAGTATTTAAGAATTGGATGCTGCTAATAAGGATTCTACGTGGCAAGGAACAAGAGACTCAGACTGAATTGCTATTTATGAGGATCGGACATTGAAACCCAAATGGGTTGCCAATCCTTGGGTGCTGTGTTTCATTTTTGGATCTCTTCTTTTTGGAATCGTGGCCATTGCAAATTTTGAGGTTGGAAGCTGCCAATGTTGATTTCGGGGTTGGGGTGGAACAAGGAGTTTTCGGGCATTTTCAGTCTATGAACATCCAGAAACAGGCCAAAATTCGAAAGCAAGGAGGGTGTGAAGTCAGGCTGAGGTTTTGCGGATAACGCTTCGAAGATCTGTGTAGGGAAGGCAAAATCGAGCAAACAAAGCATGTTAATGCTGCTCAAAAAGATTGATGTGATAGTGATACCACAGATTAGGCCATCGGCTTCGCTGGATACAAACACGTACCCTTGCTACACAAAGAAATTTAGAGCTGACATTTGACCAACCGCACACACATGGCCAGATATCTTACATGTAAGGCCAAATAACTATATACACGGTCAGAAACCTTACTGCAAACACAAGGCCAGAAAACCCTTAGAAACCTTAAATATACGGTCAGAAACCTTAAGTACACGGCCAGAAACCTGGTTTAGGTCCAACATTTTTTAAACAAGGCCAGAAACATTAAGCACAAAAAACATCAATCAATCAACTATTTTGTGTTGCTTTCGTGTCCTTGCATTGTGCTGGAACGGGACCACACTTGAACCAATAAATACCAGACCCAGATGCGTCTTCTGGATTGGAACCTACTCAGGCTTCAAGGCAGTAGAACATGTCAAAGGCAAACTGCATGTCGGGGTGTCCGCGTGACATGAGTTATTTGCCCTTGGGTGGTGTTATATAATTATAGATACTTAGGATTTCTCTGGATTACCTACTGACATAGCACTGGCTGCACCCGTGCAGGTGCGTCACCGCCAACACCGCCCACGCCGCCGAAGCCGACTCCAAAGCCCGCGTCTTCTGCGTCAAAGCCGTCGGAGACTTCCGCGGGGCCACAGAAGTTTGGTCCGCTGGACGCTTTTCGTTGCAAAAGCCGACGGGTTTCCTGGGCGATCCGCAGGAGCCAAAAGTCTTCAGCATGAATGCAAGTCAAAAGCAAACTGAAGCAAACTCTGGAGACTTCTCCATCCTCCTTCCAATACCAAGTAAAAACACATGTAAAACATGTAAAAACAAATTACAATGTTTAAGTCCATCGGTTATGCATGTATATGCAGGTCAACCTCACGTTCGTCGCGAGCCGCTCGAGGTGTTCGGTGGCCAGGTCCATGCGGTGTCCACGTTTCACCGGTGCCTACTGGGTTGGTAAAGGTACACCCTGGAAGACGATCCCATGGACCCTGAAAACCACTGGTTGGTAGAGGAAAACACTCTTCCAGGAAACCACTGGCTGGTAGAGGAGCCTACACTCTTCCAGGGAGCCAGGACGTCAGGGTCTATGTGAGTTTTCGGGAGTGTATTCTTTGTGTGCTACTTAACACCTAACATTTGGAATGAGTCGGAATGAGTATGTTTGTTGTTCAGTTAATTAGCGGTGCCAAATGTGCGCTCTGCAGATTTGATTGAGATTGAGATAGTGGCCCTACTCTTTGTTGTTTTGGACCGCAGGGACATCAACTGTTCTGATTCCGCGTTTCCCGTTCAAATCCACATTCTTAGGGGGTAGTTGGAACCTGAGGATTCCTGGGCGAATGGTTATTCAAAAGATGTGAAGATCGGCGCTTGCGTATCAGGCAAAAGGCGTCTCCCACCCGGATATCGAACACGCGATACTTGTAGACCCCCAATCACGTAGGAAGGATTCAAGTAGGAAGGACGCTGAAAACTGCCAAGGCCCTTGCTGGTCCTGGCGCAGAACATGTTGTTTACCGAGCGGAAACCCTTGTCAGGTCCTGTGGCAAAAGGATCACAAAACAGATCAAGACAACACCCATGCAGAAAAATATGTAAAAAGGCAGATTGCAGAGCAAGTGGGCCAAGTAATTACTCACAGGATAGCTAGTTAGTCGGAGGACTTTTTCATTTGTCAAGACTGTTAAGATTGTGATCCCTTCAATCATATATTGAACCTGAGCCTGGTCCGTTCAACACTTCCTGCAACACGTTGGAGGTACGGAATATATGCATGTCTTCATCTCTTCTCCACGGGTCAGTCTTCCGAAATGTGTTGTGTTTCTTTCGCCGTGAAGCCCACGTGGTCACCCACGGTGCCTTCCGAAAGGGTGTCACCCACGTGGCTCCTGTTTCCACTCAGGATGTGAACTTGAAGCCCACGGATCAGCCGCTGGGATCGAAGCTATCGCGGGGGAACGGCCGTGGGCATCCGGCTGGGGGCATCCGGGGAACGGCTGTTCAGGTGCATGCCCTAGGCCTCCAGTCGTACCTTCGTTTCGAAGTGGGACTGGGGATGGGTGCCAGGAGGGTCCAAAGACCTTCTGAGGAGGTACTTGGAGGTGTAGGGATTGGTATTGCAGGTGAAGAGAAAACTGCACAAATACGTGGGGCGAATACTGCCAAGAGAAAAACTCATCAGGTGAAGGAGTGTGAATCTCTTGAAGGAGCGCTTTTGGAGTGCAACGGCATGCGGATACACGTCACCAAACACCCATCCCAGCTTGGATGAGGCTCCATGCTACTGCTTGAATCCCTGAAGCAATGGGCGGTTGAGTCGTGCTGCGATGAAGCACTGCCTGAGGCCTTAACATCTCCTCCGCCTTTGGGGGTGTCCAGGTGAATGAAAGACACACAGCATGGAGGTTCTATCCTTTAATCGCGCGACCTTTCATCGCCCCAATGGCTTGATCGGCATCCTCTTCCAGGGTGGTCGTTGCCTTCGGAGGTCAACCCAATTCTATATACGCATCTCAATGAACGTGCTCCTCCATAACCTATGGCTCCAACTACCTCCTGGTGTTATGGGGTGGATTTGTCTAACTACCTTCTGAAGCCTTCTGAAGCAGTTGGGTGCTCAGGGTGGGATATCTCAGATGGTGCAACCCTAGATCTCCAGCAACATCCAGCAACCCTGTTTGTCTAATCAACATGTTCATCATTGATCCTTCTTGGGCCCAAACTTGATGTTCGAACTGTGCAGGATTCAGCAGGATGTGTTACGTATTTCCTATGCTTGATCCATTTGGTTCACAACATTTTCTTGCATCTCATCACCTGCAGATGTCCTGCAGTCAGTCATGCCTTCACCGTTTGGATCCCCACTGCGCCGTTCGTCGAGGCTCCGCCCGCTGTTGCCCACCTGGAATCCTCCGCCCACCCGACGACCCACACCGGAAGAGCTAGTGCCTTGAAAACCGCCAAACGCAGTGGGAAACACCTGGGAGGAAGGGCTTTCTGGACTTCCCAAGATTCAGATCCAGTGGGATGCAAATCCCCTGGGATCGGAATCTGATGTTTCTTCTTCATCCAGGATGGTGATCACCAGGTGTTGTTTCTCATAACTTCTCAATCTGATTGGTTTTGTGAGAAAGATGTCATCACTCTTCGATTGCACGGTTTGGCTTCGGGACGGTCTTCGGACTCAGCGGTTGGGGTCGATGTGGTTCACGGTGCCCGGCGTGGAAGGAGGTTAGACGGGTGCGTTCCGTTTGGTGCTGACAAAGATACTGTATCACAGGGCTGCTGTCTTTCCATAAAGCATCATCAAAGCCATTTGATTGGCAAGCCAATTTTTTAGGGACAACGACAAGCATTAAAGCTGGCTTTTTTCATTGTCCAACTACCTTTTTCAATCTTCCGGGACTCCTGTTTCGAGGTGTTATATAGCCACCCAACTCCGGTGGGTCCTGGTTTGGCCAATTGATTTGCTTCTTCCTGGACCCTCCAAAATACCCTAGACAATGGGACGTGACATGACCCTTGAAATCAAGGATCTGTTTTCAAGACAGGTACTTGTAACCGTATTCTGAGGTTTCCAACTTAGACTCTTCGAACTGAGACTCCAAACTGACCTCCTGACCGGCGCTCCTATAGGAAGTCGGCTTCCGCGTGCGCTTCCTCTTCGAGGAACGCTGGTGGGCCGCCACCATCCGTGAGGCCCCGGGATGGGAAGTGCGAGTGAGCAAGCATGTGACCTCCAACTGGGTGTAGCTACTATAGTAACAAGGGCATCGCTACGTTCGTAGCACGTGCCTCACTACGTTCCGAGCAAGTGCATCGATACTAGTAACAAGGGCATGCTCCTACTAGTAGCAATTGCAGCTCCTGCGTTCGCGATGCCCTTGGGCCCTATGAACATGCCCACACCGTGGCCCACCACGCGTTGGGTGTTCCATACTGGCAGGCTGCTGCAGGAAGACTCCATGGCCCTTTCCGGGTAGACTGGCGGGTAGACTCCTGAACCTTCCTTTCGGGGTCAATGCCTGGTGCCGGTCTCCCATGATTGGAGCTACACACCCAGTTCTGGATCTGGAATGAGTTCGGTCTTGAGTGGATGGGAGGCTACTTTCTATTCTTCAGTGGAACAGGATGAGCTGTTTGGACACACAAAATCCAGATGAGAAATGAGTGATTCGCGGTGATCCAAGATCACATCGTAGACCTGGGTGCTTTCCCACCCATCACCCTGGCAGTGATGGGCTTTCCTCCACCTCCACCACCCCAAGACATTTGAAAAAGCATCCGCCCTTTTGGAAATCCCTATCATCGAGGTCTTGGTCGTCCACCGGAAATTAGATCTAAACGAATCAACCTCTGAAAACATCAGGATCTTCAGGACCTGGGATCCTAATTATATATATATACCATTCACCATCCATTTCACCAATCCCATACCATTCTTCTTCCAGTCGTTGGACGAAGACCTCTTCTTTCCAAGCGCCCCGGACGGGTCCGGGCGAACGCACCGCGCCGTGGCGCCGCAAGGCCTGGGACAGCGAGCTCCGCGTGGGATTCGATGGCTGGCCGAGTCGGCACGTGGCTCGGGGCAAGAAGACGGTGGGTGGCTCCCGGCCCCCC